TGTTACACTCATTTTGTCATGTCAGAAGGCCCTGTACTAGTTGGAAGTATTGTTAACCAGTATTGATAAATTTGCTAAGAATAAGTTAGCTGGACCAACGTTTTACTTGCATAACAGCTTGCCATTTCTTGTTTGCTTCCTTGTTAGAGACCTCGGTGGCTATTAATAGGTCAGGAGGCTTACTATGACAGCTCAATTTAAAACTCTAATTTTACTATTACAAGCATTAGGTTCATAAGGAATACTTAAATATGACCAATTAGTATTAAACAGAGGGGTTGTGGACTGTGGCTGTACAGTGGCACTTGGCAGTACCGCCTGGTTTTCAAATGAGGCGGGCGCTGCGTCCCAGCCTTGTGGGGAAGGCAAGGTTGCTCAGTGGGCTTACCCTGCGCTATATAATATATATTTATACCCTGCGCGGATATAAACACCGCATGGATTTTTATGCAGAATTTCCCATTGCGTCCTCTAAAGTCTTGATGTGTACCTGTGGATGCTGATTTCAAGCTAAAGAAAAGGGAGGTTTGTTTCCTGGTTTTACTATTTGATAGCATGAAGATAGAATTAGGATTCTAGCAGCTGTGCCCACTTCTCAGTTATTCCTTCTGCCACTAAATCTTCTCAACAGATAAACTTCCAGCAGTACCAAAGAGTTTTTCTGAGATTCCAACCTTTCATGAATTGGTTTACCTTTTGCATAGCACATGGCATCGTGGTTGACATCGTTCAATTACACGGTGCTTCACTACTGTTAAACTGGCTCAGAAGAGGACTAAGTCCTCTGATTTACTGCTATAGGTAGAATATTTTTCATTAGAGAGGTTATCTTTGAAACATCTTCACATGCTGCTTCTAACCCGTGAAGGAAATCTGCATTCCTACAACCTAATGCAACTGTAACCTCCATTTATGCAACCAAATCACTATTTATGCAACAAAATAAAATTTTGTCATTACAGAAAAAGACTGCAAAGCTGTAAATCAGGTATCATGTTTATTATATGCTTATTGTTCCAAGTTTATCGTGTGCTTAGCAACTTCATAATTATTACAGACTTGATAATTTGCTGTAGGAAATTACCCAAAGTGTGTACGCAGGATCTGAGAATAAATAGTCAGAATGGTACTTTCTGGACTTAAAATCTTTGAGTAGTTATGCTACAGCTGTTTGCCTATTCTTCCTTTGGTCTGAAGCAGCTGACTTTCTACATCATTAGGTTTCCTAGAAGATAATTAATTGTAATTCCTCTCTCATTCCTAAATGCATTTTTATATTACAGGAAAAAGTACAGTACTCTCAAAACTGTTTGGAAAGAAAAACTGTTAGTGCAAATTTATCACTAGAATATGAAGGGATGCGTTTTCAAAGTCCTTCAAGCTGATACCGGTGTCTACAAGGACTTGTTGGTTTGCCAGTGTAATTTGTTGTACATGGTCTGTATTTATGTATGTCTGCATACTCAGATGGAAAATCTATTTAGAATTTGCTTTAATGATAACATTCCAAAGATAAACTGTGTGAGCCTTGGGCAAATCTAATCTATTAAATCAGAGTGTGCTGATTGAGACAAATCTTTCATGGCTTTATGTCACCATTTTTGACTCCATTGTTTAGAAGTGATGAGCACACATGACAGTCAAGTAGTCAAATATATTTAAAGGGTCCATAGTTCTTGTTAAGCTCTGTCAGTTGAATTTGACTCACAATTTACTAGGTGAAAGGAGAAAAAACTTCACAAATTTCCAAATAAAGTGCTATATTCACTTTGTTTTGAAATTTAAAAATAGGTCTCGGTCCTGAGAATTACAGGTCTCTGCTGCTGAGCATTATATGGCAAGATGTAAGAATACATTGTGAAAAATTCCATAAAGCTCAGCTCCATGATCCTATGATCCTGACACTGCAAAACTGTAGGGTCAACCTCACCAATATGTGGGAATTCATATTTGTAAGGTGATTCATCCCAGCTACCAACAAGGAGGCACTGACCATAAAAATAATCTTGAAGCCTGTTTTTTTCCACTCAGATCTTTTCTTCTTGCACCTTCAAAACCATTGTCTACATTAACTCCATAACTTCTATGCCAGGTAGCAATCAGCTTAAATTCTGGATGATCCTGGCAGGCTACCAGAATCAACCAGCAGTGCATTGCAGTGCTACAGGTTGCCCAGAGAGGTTGTGGATGCCCCATCCCGGGCTGTCTTCAAGACTTTGAGCAACCTGGTCTAGTGAAGCTGTCCCTGCCCATGGCAGGGGGGTTGGAACTGGATGATCTTTAAGGTCCCCTCTGATCCAAACCATTCTGTGATTCTATGATTCACTGAACGATTTGGACCTACATTTCACCATCAAATTACACAGACATGAGAACACGGTTTCCAATTCCTTTCCCTTTATGCTGCTACAATGACACGGTGGGATAGGCTCTCTTCAGTACTGTGAGGTGGATCTTGCAAGGGCAAGTGGTATTTTCAGGCGTTACTTTCTCAGTGTTAAAACCTGGTTAAAATTTGTATCTTCAAATACAGAAATGGCTGGGTTCTTTTTCCTAAAAAAATAAATTATATTTCATATGCATACTGTGCAGCATTTATCTGGTATGTATTCTAAATGTCTTTAATTGGTCTAAATGTAAAGCCAGCCACACTTTTATTTATTCATCAGACTATGTGATGTTTCCTAAATGTGATCAAACATAACTGCTGTCGTCATAATCAGAGCCAGTTGTTTAAATGCTCAGTTGTGAGTATCTAGTGAAATAGCTTTAAATAACAAGATAAACAGTGCAGCTGCCAACCCAAAGTAATCTTACACTGAGGGGGCGTGTGGCACAGAAAATTTCCTCTTTGTCATTCTGATTTGAGTTTGAAGCTGGACCTGGGCTTAGTTCCAGCTCAAAAAACTGTTCACTTCAAAGGCTCCTAAATCGTCCCAAGGAGCTAATTTTGGCAGCCAATTGTTTTTGTTTGGCCAGGCATCCCAATAGCAAAAGCCGTCTGCTCCAGTGAATAAAGGCTTCAGTGCTCAGACTTGCCATTCCTGATTTTATCCTGAAATAGGAGGTGTACACCTTTCACTCGTTTCCTCATCTCACCCCAAGCTTACTGCTTTTTTTGCTAAACAGTACCTGTCCTGTAAATTAAAAATATACTTCCTCTTTTCAAAATAGAGAGTAGTTTATTCTGCTCTGAATTACTGATTAATCCTAAATTATAGTTGCATTATCTGTTTGCTTTCTTGGCAACTACAGCATTTTGGGGTTTTTTTCCATTCCCATGAACAATATTAGCCTGGTGAATTTACTAAATAAAATATATATTAAATCACTTTAAAGGGAAATTATTTGCAGTTACGCTGGAGTTATAATAATATCCATTATAATAATTATATGGACAACTTTTCCTGCAGTAAAAAGGTGCTTGCCAAACACACAATGAAAATTAAAAGACTCTGCTATTAATTTAATAGCAAAATTAAAATATTGTAAATGTATAATATGATGATATGCAAATGGACTTTACCGTTGGATAAGGAATTGGGTGGTACAAGGCATAAGGAAATATTAAAACACGTGAACAGTTAAGAATAGGACAGTCCTCACTTTCACACCACACAAAGAGTATTTCATGTTGAATGTATCTTTCTATCTTGGTATTTTAAGATTTATGCATGAGAATATTGGAGGAATCAGACCAAATAATTTTAAGTATGAGATGTAAGAAATGATGTGGCCACAGTTTGGCAACATGCAGGGCAGGTGAAACTCAGGCAGGCCATGTCGGTGTTTGCATGAAGCTTACCAGAATTTGTAGTTGCTCCATCTTTTTATGGAGATTCAGCTGAACTGTGGTCTGTGAAGCAGCTAAATCAAAATTATCCAGGGAATAATAATTCTGCTTCATGTCATTTCCTAGGAAAAAAATAGCTTTCATTCTGTTTTTGTGAGAAAACCAGACCTTCCAAGTTGTGAAATGTGTTGAAAAGGTAAAAATTTTAGCCTTCATTCATTCATGGCCTCAGACATTTTATGAAGACATTGCATTTCCATGCCATTTCACAGACCATCATGCTGACAGTAGAAAACAGTAGAGTGTTCAGACCAACTTCTTTCTTAAAAATTAACCATCAGATCCTGGAAAGCTAATAATTCACCTGTGACATGTTACTTTCAGAAATGGAAAACAATTTTAATGCAAAAAGAATATATTGTACTGCTGATACTATTCCCAGTATTTAATTTTCAAGAAAATAATTTTATTCAGAGTGCCTTAAAACCTTGATTTTAAACACCACGGACTTGCTGATCATTTACCACAAGCATTTATTATTAAGTACCTAAATCAAAATACTGTTTAGAATCCTTAGCTTATTTTACTTTCTTGTTTGTTGGATGTATTAACATTGTACTCTTAAGGCACAGGGTCACTTATATTTCTTTTAATCAATTTAGATTTGTAAGCATTTGCATTTTAAAAAATTGAGTGTAATAACCAAGAACTTTTCCTGGAAAAAACGTGTTCAGGAATCAATTTCTTGTATTTTTTTCTACCAGAACTCCAAATCAATTTGTTGCCACTAATACTTGTTTAATACATATCCATTTTCTTTACAGTTTCTCAAGGAGCTGGTTTAATATCCATGTTTTAACATTAAACAAGGTAGAAAATTTAGAATGTTGCAAAGATATCGTGCTGTCTTTAACTTATCTGATTGCCAGAGGAGAAAATACAATTTTGTATTCCATGATTTGCAAGACTATAGAATCTAATTTTTGGAGCAGTGCCTATACTTACTTGGAGTTTGAAAATACATATTTGCTTGCAATTAAATCATTCAATACTTATGCTCTTCTTCAAAGTAATGTACATATACTATACATTCTAACTCATAAAATTAAATTTAATTAGAAGACAATGTTTGATGCTCTAAAATATGTTAAAGATAAAACCATGAAAACCAAACTTAACACTTCTTTTGTCATCTTTATTTTTTCAGGACTTTCAAACAGTGTTACCATCGATTGTTCTCTTTGAAAAGTTTGGAAAAACTTATTCCAGAACTGGGCAAATAGTGTAATCATCCTGCAAACTACACAATATAAGAGACCTGATAAGTAACCAATAAATGTATTTCAGCAAATGCACAGCAGTATGTTGACTGACTGTCCCTTGAAGTACTCTTTCTGTAAAGTGATGTCTACTATGTCTGAAATAGTGTTAATTGATTTTCCTTGATCTTTAAGCAATACAGCTTCCCACATTAATTAAAAAAAATATATTTTTTTTAGTTATGTCCAAAAAAGAATTATCTTAGGAAAATGATTTCTGAAAATGCTATAATCTATTAATGTAAATCCTTTAGGATACAAACCCACAGTAATCAAGTAAAAAACTTGGAATACCACTGTGTGTATTACAGGTTTGTAAGTGAGATTAACACTAAAGAATTAAGTATTTTTTTGTTTGGGTTTTTTGGGTTTTTTTTGGTCATAACTACAAACGTATCTGTTTCACCACTGCTGTTCATGATTTTCAGTGCTAGCATACAGCGGTTTTGAATATGGATGCATCTCTTGAGAAGGACAGGATAGGCTATTTACATAGAAGATACTATTTTATATCCTTTTAGCTCTTCTCTGGGTGATATAACATCAGTGTTGAAGAAATAAAGTACTTATATACCAACTGATTATTAGACCAATTTTTCTATATCTACTTAATTTTCTTTATCAAGATCTGTGTATTTGCTCCTAGTACCATGTTAAGCAGACAGGTATGTGGAACATAATCACATGATGGTTGGCAAAGAAGAACACATCTGATCACACAAAGCTGGTATTTGCTTTGTTCACTTGCATGCAATCTTGCAAAATACTGAGTATCTTCAGAGCGCATTATCTTCAAAAGGCTCAAAGAATTCAACACCAGATTCAGCATTTCTTAAAAGCAAACCAGAAGATAGTTTTTAAAAATATGAGTGAATTTTTACAGGGGTTTTATGCTGAATTCTCTAAGATACCATGTTTGCTTTTCATATCCTTTGACTATATTTGAATCAAATATATCTGTTTATGGTAGTTGAATCAGTTACTCAGTGGTCAGGTTTTTATTAGTGAATTTTGGTATGTGAGTCTTTTGTCCTCTACAAATGTGCAGAAAGCCTCCTTCAGAGGTCTGTACGAATACTTTCTGACATAGGAGTCACAAATTTAGTTTCTGCAGGTTTTCAGCTGTCAGCCTATGTGAAAAAGTTTTACTGCTGTCATACACAAGACTAAAAGCACTTGCAATTCCATTTCAGCAGGTTACGAGTGCGGGCACCATGTTGTAGTGTTTGTTACTTTTTGGAGCTCTGAAAAGTTCTTTCTTTGGCATGGCAATGAGAAATGATCTCTGGGCAGTGCGAAGCAGCCACCTCAGAGGCAGCGTCTCCTCGATGAGTTAATCTGATCGAATGTGTCAGAGTGCTTTGGTTGTTCATGGAAGGGATTGAAGAGGAGACACTTGTGCAAAACTGGTGATGAATAAAGATGCCACAGTGATTTTTATATGTGAGAGCTATCTATTTGATTGCTTCAGCTTTAAGGTAGTTCATCACAGTAATTCACCCAGTGTTGCCTCTTTAACTTCATACCACGGTTTCCCATCAGTCCGATTAGAAATGGCAAAGCCTTTATCAGATTAATCTTTCTTTCTCTTTCTTCCTTTCAGTATCTCTGACCCCAGGACACAAGAAAGCCTACCATGTAGACCAGCACTGCACTGGTGGTAGTGCACATAGCTAAGGGTCTGCAGCACAGGATGGAGGTTAAAACCAACACTTCTAATTTTATTTGTTTGGTACACACACACTTTTCCTCCTCTTAAGGAAAAAACCCAAAACTTTTCATTTCAAAACAACTGGCTGCTTCCCAGAAACATGCTTACACAAAACCAGGTCTATTCATTTTGTTAGGTAAATAAACATCCACAAAATTAATAAAGTAGCAAACACACTACCTGCCAGGTTCGGTTTTTGGGGCTCTTTTGCCAGTTATATTTCATGGGGAGTCCAATACTTTTCTTTTACTGGAGTTCACAGGGAATTTATGTCGTTCTTCAGCATATAACATCCAAATTATTTTGTGTCGTCACACTGCAATCCCAGAATCCTTTTGTTCCTCATTAAGCACATTTAACACTTACTCATTACATTGGTAATTACTCCAACAGGACCTCTACCAACTATTCCATTATGTAGAGACTTTTATTGTTTTTATTGTCTCTTAAACTACATATAAACACATGCAGAGAGTTAACAGAGGATTAGCTTGAAGATGCCACAGTATGTTTTTTTATATTTTTAAATATAAAAGCATCATATCTATGAAACTTTAGATGAATCTTGATTTTTTCTTTTGGTTTTAACTGACATCCAGATGCTGGAAAGCCCAGGAACATTTGTGAGTGTGGGCTACAGAACCTGTCCCTACATTCTTTCTACAAATGGATGAGGCTGATTCATAGAGAAAACTCACAATACTAGAAGGAACAGCTAGTAAGAATTTAAGAAAACCAGTCTTGGGATACCTTCAGCATGTTGGACTCCCTTGGTTACAGAAGAAGCCCAGAACACACAGTATAGCATGAGGGACCCCAGTAAGTTTTCATTATGTAGAGGAATTGGACATTATGAACAATTCAAAAAAATAACATGGAAGTGAATGCCAGCAACTCTGCAGTATATAGGAAAGGAAATAAAAGATAAAGTTTAGACCTGGGGTGGACCTAATTTCTGTGACTCTGGGATAGACTACTGCTTCTATTTGGTAACCTTCTGTGGCAAGCAAGCGATTGTGACTGTCTGGCAAGGAATGTTTTGTTTCACTATCTTGTTTAAATCAAAATGTTTGCATATGCAAACATACAGTTTTTATCTATATCCAGTTGAAGCTAAAATGTTGATATTTTTATTCACTGCATTAATATAGTGAACATGACAATAAGAATTTTGATAATTTCATTATGTAAGCAGTCTATTGATAAAAACAGTGTGATGGTGTGATTTTACTTTACTCCTGGTTCTCTTTCTTATCGATATGGTTTATCATATCACTTTTAATTATCAAATTAGTTTTGGTAATATATTTCAGTAATATATTCTTTGTTGTAGGTGTTACTTGTTAATAAAATTGTTGTTTTATAACACTCCAGTACCAAATGGTGTGTGTTTTAGAGAGGATTTTTCTGGTATATAGGGGATGTTACACTCTATTCTCAGAGTACAAAATCTTAACAACAAAGAATGGGTATAGATACAGGCACTGAGAAAGAAACACTGAAAAGTTGAAGTGGACTCATGGATCTTGATGAGTCTGTAAGATATGTAGCCTCTTAGAAATGTAGTTTGCTATGGCATTTAGCAAACTACTCACAGCAGTATTTAAAGATTAAAGACAATTACTGTGATACCAAAGGAATAGACAAATATAAGAAGCGGTATATCAGTCTTCAGAAGAAGAAGTGTAATGACTCTAATTGCGCCATTAAACGTATTTCAGTCAACTGTAGTTGAACAAATGTGAATTGTAAAACATATATAGCCAACTAATCCAAAGAGATCTCGTTGCTGTTTTCTGCAATAACAAAATACGGCCTTCAGCGTGCAGTGAGACATGCCCGATCCTTGCTTTTCAGCCACAGAAACACAAATATTTTTTTGTGATTTGGGCTGATTTCATTCATATGTACAGAGGAAAAAAATCACTATTGAGTTTTTCATATTATGTGGCTGAAGAGGCTTATCACATACCTTTAGGAAGCAACGCTTACTGGGAAGAACCTGCCATAGCAGCTCACTAACAGAGTATCTCTGATATGTCAGATATCTTGGTCTAATGCATAAACCACCTGGAACCTAATACTTTGATGTCCACTGATAGCTGAACAATTTGTATAGATCTTGAGAGAGTCAAATAATAATGTTATTTTTTTCTGCATCAGATACACTGGCCTACATGCCAGGTGCTAAGGTTTCAAAGCCTCTGTGCTAATGACCAAGGATCTGTGGGTTTAACGACCACTGGGGATCACAGCACTCATAAAAGGAGGCAGGCAAAGTCACTGAAATGGAACAGCAACGTGTGGAAAGTTGCTCACATCATGAGAAGTTTCACGGTTATTAGAAAATGTCTGGTAACATCTGTTCTTACCAAATCTATCTGCTGTTACTCAGTGGATTAAGGACCTTTCAGTCTTGCTGCCCAATAATTTTGTCTGACTCTTACATAGCTGATGTCGTAAATACAGAAAATGTCCTAATTTAGGTAATTTAAGAACTCTCTTCTGGGTTGATCCAAGATGTTCTCAACACTTGTCAGAGAAAACATTTAGCTTGTAATGCCCTCTAGAGGCAAAATTGCTATAATAATAGTGTTGGCCGCAAATTTACACTTTTCTGGACCAAATGCGATGCTGTGGTTTTCAAGCAAGAGCTTTTTTCTTTTTTTTTTTCTTTTTTAATAAGCCACACTTCACATTTTTATAGGAGCAGAGGTCTAGAACGGTCAGTGGCTCTGCAACTAACCTAGATACCTCATTCTGGACTTGTACTGAAGTTGTCTCCAGCTGAGATGTGGCCATACTTAAACTGCAAAGCAAAATGGTGACGCTTGTAGACAATAACAGAGTTTGACATGGAATAAGTCTCTGAAAGTATCAAATTTAAAACGTATTTCTAACAGTTCACTGTTACTCCAATAGATGTGTTTGTAACATGCCTTTCATAAATCTGTGGTCCTCAATGAATTTAGAAGTTCTTCACAGTAGAAATTGTTAGAAGGATGAGGAGCTCTGTTGTTTACTGGCAGCCATGGGCTCCTGTGCTCAGAATAACAGAGACTGAAAAGTAGAGGATGTGTGTCAATCTTTAATTGTAAAATCTGTATTACCCCATATTACAACAGAAACACTACAACCTCAAAGAAGTTGCATCCATGTAATTAGAAACAGAATTTGAGCCCTGAAGCTTTTATTTGTCTTAAGTGTATTTGTAAAGCATTCTTTTTTTTTTTTTTTGCGAACTTTCTTTCATGAGTT